GTATACAGGAGGATATGTGAAAGTTATATGCAAATACTATGCCATTTTATACAAGGGACTTGAGCACCATAGATTTTGTCATCCTTAAGCGACTTGGAACCAATCTCCTGTGCTTATCAAGGGACAACTGAATTCCATGATTCATACCTAAAAACATAGTACTTAAACCCCAAAAAGTAAAAATTAGAAAGTGGCTCAGGAAATTAAACTAGCTACTTTACTATCAGAGAGTCTTGTAGGCAGTTAAAAAACAATCTTCTATACCTCTGTACATTTGGTTTTATAACCTTCTCTATTAATATCTTAAATCAAGTTCCTATATCTAATAAATCTACCACAATGCCTAGCTTAAAATAAGCATTTGGTAAAACATTTATTGAATCAAGAAAATATGACACTTTGTTTCCTTTTATATTGCCTTAACAAAATTTTTCATAAATCAACCATTTCATAGAGCAAATCTTATTATAAGTTGCTAACAATAGGAATTTTAGAGAACTAAGTAGATTAAGTACCTTAGAGACCATCTGGCTTTGAAGGGGAAAAGCAAATCTTAGAATTCAAAGTTCCAACTAAGTATGTTGCTAATACACTGCTTCCTATAATAGTATGTAATTTTTAAAACTCCATAAACATAGAAGTCTAGTTAATATTTTACTTCATAGCCCAAGAGGCAATACAATATTATATTTAAAAGCACATTCTTTGCCATTATGGAGATCTGATTTTGAGTTCTGGCTCTACCATGTACAGTATTAGCTTTGTGATAACCTGGGACAGAGTATTAATCTCTCAAAGCTTTAGTTTCCTCATCTATATATATACATCTATTACACGCATGTATAGGTATAATATTGTATCTACTTTACAAGTTATTATGGAAATTAAGTGACATAATTCATGCTAATATCCAATACAGTAACTGCTAAATAAATGTTAACAAACATCATCATTATTTAAAAGATGATCCATTCTGGCTTTTCAAAACGTTCCTTTCATTTTTTCCAAAAGATGTGCTGTGTTTTATTTTATATATGTTGTGGGCGGGGGGGGGAAGTGACTCTTTCTGTATCATTATTACAGCTTTATGTCTATCTTGTAGTACATCTTATTTACCTTTAACTTCACATTCGCCATGTTTATTATTTTATATACCCAATATTTTTAAAATTTCATTGCTCTTAGATACCGAAAAGCATGAAAAAGTCACAAAGACAGAAGAATACTAAAGTTCACAAAAAAACAGCAAGGTCTAATCTTTAGCAGTTTAACATACAAATAAAGTGGTTTTTATCTCAACAAAACTTAAGTTTCCAGCCAAAAGATTCCATATTAAGTATATGAAAGTATCAAAACAATCTGTTTCTCTAAATGCTATAGGCCTTCAATGGAAGTCTCATGATTCATACACAGAGTGTTATGGGAAGCATTTGAGAAAAAGATGGTGTTTAATACGTACCTGAGAGAATGAATCACATTTCAGCAGGCAGAAATTAACAGTTAGAGCATTCTTAAGAAACAGCATGATGAAATGAATAGCATAAAAATGTGTTTTCAGGATAGAGTATTTTGACAAAATGTCTACATATAGGAGGTGAGGGTTAAAGAAGAAAAGTGGAAGACTACACTGGGAAATAAAATTACTCAAGGTGGGAGAGATGATAGAAGGCCTTGAAGTTTACTCTGTAGGCACTGAAGAATCGTTCCAAGTGTTTGAACAAGGAAATGGCATTATCAAATGTATATTTTAGGAAAAGAATGAGACCAAGAGACTGAAGAAGAGATTAGAGACTTTTATATGCCTCAAGGGCAATAAGGACACTACAAGAGACTGCAAAGTGAAAGCAGGAACCACATCTGCCTTTTTCATTGTGTAGCACCAGTCAACACACAGGACACTGCACCCAGTAGGCAGCCAAGGTAAGAATAAATGAGGCCATTATAACATTCCTAATTAGAAATTAGGGCCTGAACTAGGACAGCCACAGTGGCCAAAGATAAAAACAGATTCAAAACATTTGAAGGGGAAAATCAATAGAACTTAGAACTTAGCATGTAGGTTGAGGGAGAAGCCATTAAAGACTGAAATTTTATTGAAAGGCTGAAATTTTGGTGATGTTTCACCTTCAGAGAAAAGTGAGGTACCTTCTTGAAGTGTAATTGGTTTTAGAGATCTGCTTCATTCTAAACTGAATATGTGAATTATTTAGACAGAACGCCCATTACAAGAAGCGGTAAGTTTACCAAAAAGTCTTACAAGTCATTTGTTTTTAGAAAAATGTATTACATGTGTAGCATCAGGAATACTTGGAACATATGTTTCACTTAAAACTTACTTTCTCCATCACCATCTTTGTCAAATTCTTCTATCATAGCTCGAAGCTCTTCATCACTCATGTTTTCACCCAATTCTCTAGCAACACGTCGCAAATTCCTCAAGCTTATTTTACCTGAATCATCATCATCAAATAGTTTAAATGCCTTGAGTATTTCTTCATGGGGATCTCTTTCCAATATCCAGTCTGTCACTACAGTTTAAAAAAATATATATTTTAATAAACCTGCATAGTCACAAAGGCATTCATTTGTGATACCCACTAAATATTAGATGAGAATTAAAGCTGTGACTGTCAACATTTAGTGTGACAATAAAATGTCAAATGAGATCCCCAAACCCTGAGATAAACCTGAAATTAGAAAAACCAAATCCATATTTTGAATGTTAACCTTTTTATTATGAGCAACTTGTCTTATTAAAAAAGTAAGCAAAACTATATCACACAGAGGCAAAATTAAAAGACTACATTTATTCCATTTATTTAAGATCTACTATAATCAAGAATTGTACTAGGCTCCACTGACATCAAGCACACAAGGAGTGTGTCATCTACTTGTGGAGAGACATACCAATAAAATAATTGGAGCTAACTAAATAAAAGCTGCTTGCTAACTAAATGTCATACTAACACTGATTCTTCCTCAAATTTAATCCAACTTCAAAACAAGAAAAACTGCGAAAGACAAAAAGTACTGCCATCGCAGACACAGGCACAATCTCAAGAGAGCAGATGAAAATTCCACTAATACCTTCGTGATTAGAAGAACCTCTTGGTTTTCCAAAATTTAGAAAGTAGTAAATAGGATCAAATCTGACTATAGCAGGAAAGCCCACCCAAAAAAAAACCTCTGGAAAGAAGGTCTCCTTAAAGCTTACCCGTTTTGTTTGGATAAATCACTCTCAGACAACTAACTAAAAATAAATGTAGTTTCAAACCTCAATGGTAATTGTGTATTTTAATACACTAAATATAATCATATATAACAACATAGTAATAAGCTTAAGTATTTTCAATTTTACCAGTCTTCAATCAATAGCCACAATAAAAATTAAAAAAAAAATCTGTGGCATAAAAATTGTTAAGTTACTAAATAAAATTCTAACAATATCTAAATAAATATCTCTGAAGTAATTATATACACTATCTGCCACTACAAGAAAAGGTATTTATGGCCTTTACTATGCTATTAAAAATAACTCGGTCCTGTTAAAGGTTACAGAATCATTAAAAAAAAAAAAAAAACTGCTTATAGATGGAAAATACTGGAATGTTTAAAGAACCCAGAATGAAAAAAATACAATCAAAATCTCCAACAAGTTATTGTTTTGTGGCTGTTTCACCTATATTAGGTTCAATAATCACCTATTCAAATGACTATTATATCATCTACACATATTTTCAATAGTTTCCTTTTATCCATTAATTTTATCCAAAAAGGCTGCCAAGTAACTAATTGAAGTATATTACTGTAAGTATGCAAATCATCAAAGCTCATAAATATTCAGTCAAAAAGGAGCTGGCATATCTACAGCCATAACACCAAAATAAAATACCACACTTAACTCTATGGCACATACTCAACTTATTTTGAATTTAGTCCCAACAAAAAAGCAGGACAAGGAAAAAAAGTGTTAAGAAATTTTCTTCACCAATTAAATAATTTACATGACAGGTGAACCAAAAAAGCAGCTTGCTGAAAGTATTAATGTACTTAAAGAAGCAACAGGGTGATTGGGGAACAGATGGGGCTCCAAGATGTATAAATTCTTATCCCACTGGTACTTTAATTGTGTTAGTTATTTCAGAGCTATGTGTCTATATATTCTTTTATCAATATTCTTCCTTAAAATGCAGCTTTTCTTGGGAATTATAAATGCTCATCATTTTGGACAGCAAAAACATTACCTAATATATAACTTTATAATGATTCTCCTCCATGCCTTCATGTTCTATTCTTGTTCCACAAAGTAGAATTTAATTACAAGAAATATATTTATTTTCAATGAAAATATTAGTAAACTGATATAGAGGCAGTTAAGGTGGGTTTCATTTATTTCACAAAACTCCAAATTTCTGTCCATGTAACTGTATTTTCAAATGATTTAATTACATATACTATCAGAAATGTACTTCTCCAAAACACTTTCTTAGACCTTTCATGTGTAAAAATCACTTAAGAATACGGCAAATCCAAAAACATCACATCAAAAGTAAATTAAAAATCATTGTAGGTAATGCTAGAAATACAGCTTTAACTTATTTCTCAATGTCTTTTGGAAATTTCTATCCAAACACACCAGTGAGACATGTTGGACTCCAAACTCATTTCACTACCACCACAGTAACTGTAGCTGCCTCCTCTACCCCCACCAAAAGACAACAGCAACATTTACAGCCAGATTCCATATTTGAAAAGTATAAATCATTTTCAGTCCCATAAACTTAATCAGGTCCTATAGTACTGAGAATACTATTTTTTTTTATTTTTATTGTTTTGAAACAAAGTCTCGCTCTGTTGCCCAGGCTGGAGTGCAATGGCATGATCCCAGCTTACTGCAGCCTCAACTCCTGGGCTCAAGCAATTTTTCCACCTCAGCCTCCAAAGCAGCTGGGACTATAGGCATGTGCCATTACATCTGGCTAATTTTTTTTTTATTTTTTGTAGAGACAGGATCTCACTTTGTTGCCCCGGCTGGTCTCAAACTCCTGTGAGCAAGCAATCCTCCCGCCCTGACCTCCCAAAGTGCTGGGATTACAGGCATGAGCCACCAAGCCTAGCCTCTTTTTTATTCTTAAATGTATTTTCTTTTCACGCTTGTCATCCTCAGCATAAAAAATAGTATTTTCTGTCTGCAGTCTCTCTTCCTTCCAATGCATCATCAATAATACTCTCATCAGTTTTCTTTCTCAAATATATCATATCCTCTTCCCTTAAAAATTGTGAATGATCCTCTGCTAACTAAAATTCAAAATCTTTTAAGTTTTGCAAGACTTTACCAGTCTGGCCCAATTCTACACTTCCAGCCATTTCCCTATCGTCTAGCCCAGAACACTATCTAGTTTCCCAAACATGCTATGCTTCTAGTACCATTCTTTGTTGTTGCTGCTTTCTAAGCCTAGAATGCTTTTTCTCTACTCTTCCTGGCAATCTTGGAATGAAATCCTACTCACGTTTCCAAAGGCCTAAATTTAAAATCTCCTCTGCAAAGTCTTCAATTCCTCTATATCAGGGATTAACAAATCTTTCCTGTAAAAGGCCAGACAGTAAATACTTTAGGCTTTGTAGAGGGGCATAAAGTCTCTAACTACTCACTCTGCCATAGCAGCACAAAAGCTGCATAAAAGAATGGGTGTGGTGGTGTACAAGCAGCAGCTGAATTTGGTCCAAAGGCTATAATTGCTGACTTCTGTCCTAGACAAAATTACAATTTACCACATAGTACTATAGCCTGTTGTCACCTATATGTACACTGTAAACTCCCTGAAAGAAGAACCTCTTAGTAACTTTTAATTACGTCTTCTTCCCAACTCCAGTACAGTACCTAATACCAAAAAATTCAGTGTTAAATAAGCAAAATGAAGACAATAATACACTATTATAATCTGAATCAGCAATAAGTAGTACATGTCAAAAATAGTGTACAAATGTTTGACTTATGTTGGTGTTAAAGACAGAATTCCTAAAACATCTATGTTACTCACTAGCCTCAGGTTGTCTTGACTCTAAACTTATATTAAATATATTTTAAAGCTTTTTTTCAGTACTAGGAAGAATCTATAATAGTTAACTGCCAAACTTCATCCAGATATATCTGTGGAACAGTATCCTTGAGTAGTTCATAAAACTAGGACTCAAATGTTATGATTTAGAATCATTTGTCCCAAAGTACAAAACATATTAATCTGTGGTCAGTGATTAGTTAAAAATAATCAACAAAAGGGGAAATACACAGTTCTTGACTGATTCCCAAACAGTAATAAATTTTTATTTTAAACCTGGTACTCTCCATAGGTAGCCTTAAGATAGCTAAGATAGGTGTTGACCCTGTCAAAAGGTTAATCTTTGAGTGTCAAAGCTGAAGTTTAGCCACATCTATTTATTCTAAAGGAACCCAGTATTTCTGCTCTGTTAATAACATAGAACAGATAGGGCGTCAGGAAAAAGTGGAGGTGGCATGGGATTCTGGTCCCAAGTGCCAATAAAAAAATCACAATTTTAAAATTGTATTCATTTAAGATGAAATAAAATATTTTGTAAAATTATTAGTGACGATATAGTGCTTACAATAGCCTTTATGAAAAAAAGTCAATAAAAAGTATACACAGAGTCTATTTTGTGTCCCAGTGATGCATATATGATTATTTTGAGCCCCTGAAACAAAGATAATTTTTTAAAGTAATAACAATAACAAATGCTTAGTAGCACTTACAACATGCTAGGCCCTTTTCTAGGTACTTTACATGTTATTAACTTAATCCTCAGAAGAATCTCATGAGACAGTACAATGATCCCCACCTTATAGTTGAAAATGAGGCAAAGGGTATTAAAAAGACCAAGTTCCAGAGCTATAAAGTGGCAAAACCAAGGTATGAACCAACAGAATCTGGTTCCAAGTGCTAAACCACTATACTGTACTAAACATACCTGGATTATAGCTCCTTCCTAATAGTATCATTTTCACTGTATCCTAACATCTTGTTTCTACAAATAAACAATCTAAGGTAAAACTAGGAATACTACGATCATAAACTTCAGGAGAGTGTCCATTCTGGGAGAACAAAAGGTGGCTCTCTCCCTCTCCTCAAATAAAAAATTCTACAAGTTAGAGGAAAAAAGGAAAATGTCCCCAACAGACAAGTTGCCTCTCTAAACAGTCATATATTAGTTCGTAAGTTGAGTATCTTCTGTGCTGTATTTTTTTTCTCTTAGGTTTATCATTTATTTTCCATCTCAACTGCTTTTGACTTGAGCGTTTGGATTCAAAAAACTGACTAATGACATGAATCTAAATTTTCTCTGCGTATACTAATTGCCATTTCTTTTTGCTTCCCATATTGCTTCTTGATGAATATTTAAAAGAAGGGGTTTGTGTATATAACAGAATTTGTTTCCAAATATCTTAAAATACTTATATGATGTGCTTATATCGTGACCCATTGGTTTAGGGGGAAAAAAATAGAAATAAACCTGAATATTTATATATTTTGTAGGTAATATCCTAGACAATAGTAACGCCCTTGCCTTCCAGACTCTTCTATTTTGAAAAAGCCTGCTCTATGTATGCTATAAATAATTCACTAAAATCAACTACACAAAAATTTAGCCATATTAAGCCTATGACACATTATCTTCAGTTGGTGGTACCAGGATGTTTTCTCCTGCTTCCAGTATGCCCACTGCCTCCTTTACTACTACCCTCTAAACAGATGACTTTATCCACTAAGATCAAGGTCATCCAGAGGATGTAGCCTCTCATAAACTTTGTCAACCTGAAGTCATGCATTTCATCTACGGCCAAAGATACCAACTACTACCAGTTCCCTCTTCTCCCACTTAGCCAGCAAAAATTACATACCAGAAAGGTCTTGGGAAACATTTTCCAAACAGCAGGATATCAAATTTTCTGTTTTACTGAGCAAAAATAATTTTTTGATCACCCTTCAAGTTTTATCACATAATATAAATACAAATAACTTGGAAAAGCATCTTTCCATAAAAAGCTACACAGTAGTTCCTTGGTTAGAATCTTCACAACAAAACAAAAGACAAAACTATAAATCTCAGAGCAAAGCCATATTTTTTCTTTGAAAATGAAAAAAGTAAAAAAACCCAAACAAAACTGAGTAAGAGTCACATTATACACCAGTGTTCTATAAGAAAATTCCATAACCTAGAGAATTTAAAATTTAAAAAGTCATATTAATCAGACAATTTCCTAACAGCTGCTGATTACAAAGACTATTAAAATACACACCAACTTCATTAAAATCTTCAAAGGTGATTTTCCCTGTGGCTTCTCTGTCATAATCTTTAAGAATCTTCAGTACATCAGCTTTTTTTACATCAAACCCCAAGGCTCTCATTGCCACCTTTTGGATTAAAAGGGAAAAGCAAATTATAAAGCAATCTTTACAAAAGAATTTCTAATTATTAAGTTTTTACATCTTAAGAGATAAAAACACATTAGTAAAATATAACTTTTTTGCATGTTTTACCTCTTTAAAATAGCAGTGACAGTGTAATTGTTCTTCACTACTGAAATTAAGTATGTATAAGTTTTTTCATTTATAAATTGCATTTTTATATGACAAAGTAACCAACAAGTGTTTACTATATAAAATGCACTAACTTACTGCACAGATAATTTGACTGTTATTTGTTATCACGGGATTAACAACCAAAATGAGAAAAAGGCATAGCATAAATATTAAAGTTATATGATAGAAGAGATAAAACATTAAAATAAGAATTATCATCAGTATCTCCATGATTAGTTATTAGGTTAATAATAGGGCGAAGAATCCTGAGTTTAGAGAAAAAAGAGACTTTGTTACTAGTAACAAGGAAGGAAACATGTTACTGACTAGATAAGTCTTATTTGGAAAGATTCAAATTGTTCCTTGAAGGACAGATGAAGAGGAGCAGTAGGGCATTTGGGAAGGATGACTAGTATTAAAAGAAACACTGAAATGAACAATAGGTTTGAAGGACAACGAACAGAGCAGTTTACCTCACCTGAATTAGAAGAGTTCAGGTGAGATAAACTGCTCACCTGGATTAGAAGGTGAATTCCACGTGAATTAGAAGAGTTTGGGAGGAAGAAAGCAGTTAGCAAATGAAAAAAGTAGTTGGTGGCAAAAGTGTAGAGAACATTCAGTAGAAAGCAAAGGAATCTGAACTTTAAGTAGTATATAATGAGGAGTTATTAATAGTAAAGGCTTATGAGCAACGAACAATTTATAAGCAATGGTGAAAGATTTTTTAAACTATCTAAATTCAGTGGTAGTGTACAAGGTGAACTACAAGTAGACAAACCATTTAGGAAGCTCCAGGTATGAAATAAGGTCTGAAACCAAGACAGTCAATGGTTACTAATGGAAGAGACACTATAAAGGAAGAATTGATCAAATCTGGGTAACCAAAAACAAAAAACAAAAACAAAAAACAGTGGGAAAAGAGAGCTAAAGAGGACTGCAAGATTGAGAAAGCTAGACTTACAGGCCTATTAATTGTTTTTATACATTCTATACTGTCACTGCATAGTTCGTATCCCTACTTGGAATTCTAATGCTTAAAAATCCCTTAAGAAATTACAAAAAGTAAAACTATCAAATAAACACTTACATTCACCTATCCATTAAGGCTATTAAAAATCTCAAAATACTATCTTTCCCACTGTGCCGAAAGTAAGTCCCATTCTACCCTAAACCCAAATCTCTCCTTATACCCTGACAAATAATAATTTACAAATCCCTCTCTACACCTTGACATTCTAGGTCTTAAAGTTGACATTTTTACCTATTAGCATGTGTCAACATCAAACAGCACTGAAGTTGTTTGTACCACAGAAAGTGGATTGAGACTATGTTACTAACAAATACAAATTATAAGATTAAAAGACAACAATCCCACAGTCTGAAAACAGTATGAGTCACCAAGAAGCAAAAACAAAAACAAAAAAACAGTGAAAAGAATATGGTAAGAATAGTTTAAATTCCAGTTTGAAATCCTTTAATTATGTCAGTGAAAAATAAGCACCTTCCCTAGGAATGTATTGTTACATTTAAAATGCTATTCGTTTTATCACGTGAAAAAGATTTTCTAAAAACTGTGTTAGGAGTTCTATTCAGTATTATTATAGAATCTAACTATGAATGCTTAAAATGCCTTCATAGTTCCAAAACCAATTTAGTTAAAATAATTACTTAGAAATGTAATGTAAAGCAACTGTCAAAATGCAAATCATTTTAACACAGAAACAACTATTTTAAAGTATACCATTACCTTTAATTCATGATAATCTATTGCTTCATCTTTGTCTGTATCAAATAGTTCAAAAGCATCTTTAATTTCTTGTTTCTGTTCCTCAGACAGTTCTCTTCTTTTTTTCCTCTTTGTTTTGTCTACTACAAGCTCACTTCTATGGAATGGAAAGAAAAAGCCCTTAGTCCACTTTAATTCTCTTTACTAACAGAAATTAGCCAATAATTATTTTCTAAATTTCAAAAAAGAAAGTACTTTGGAGAAAGACAGGGAAACTTTCCCTTTATGAGTCAATGCCCTGTTTATTCCATAGTCTAAATTGCTATAAATATGAACTTCCCAAAACTAAAGAGTGTTACAGATTATTAAAAGAAATGAGGACCAAACTTTTCCTTTTCCCAGCTTTTTATTTATTCCCACTTTCCGTAGCTTTTTATTTATTCAAGAACTGTGAATAAGTAACATTACTTTTACGTCTGAAACTCCAACCAACTCCAACCAAAAAAACCCAAAAACACTCACATTATTCTACAAGAATGTTAAAGAAACCAAAAAATCTCCAAATGAAACCAAAATTCATAACTGACAATCACCATATATCGGTTTACTTTTGATAGTTCTGATAATTAAGTTCATAAAATTACTACAAAAAATACAACTGAATTAACTTATATTTTGGGACTATTGGTTCAAAATGTTTTTAGATTACACGTTTCTAACAGTTTGGCAATTTATGTGTCATTTCCTCCACTGATATTAACAAATCATCCAAAATATTAAGGAGTCTAAACATACGACAAATATTAGATGTCAAAAAAGTATACAATATTTGTGCTTCATAAGTCTTGTCTCACTTAACATGTAAACTGGAGGTTAAACTTCTCATAAACTCTGGAAACGCTTAAAGAAAAAAGCAAAAATTACTTTAAAGCCAGAAATGTTTTCCTTAAGAGCTGCCCATCTAAATGTGCTCCAAGTTTTCCAACGGAGCCGCAACACTGGTATAAGAACAAGTTTTGAAACACACAATCTGGTAACACATTAACATGTCAAAACCAGTTGACTGTATTTAAAACACGTATCTAGTTGCATTTGAAAGTCGTTTTGGTCTCTGAACGCTACAAAAAAAAAAAAAAAAAAAAAAAAGCTAGGAAGTGACCAGTAGATGCAGTATGACAAAGCTGAGGAAGATCTTCCTTTCATGAGACCTGACTTGACACAAACTTGGGTATTCCTGGGGTCAGTCTTTTCCTTCCTGAGACTTTTAAAGGCCAAGTCCAGAACCGACCCACCCCTGACCCCATCCAAGGGTACCATGATTATCCCTTAGCAGAACATGGAACATTTTTAGAGTGTCCTAAGTATATGTATAGTTTTACGGTACAACGTCTACGTAGGGGGAGCGGGCAACAGACAGAGGGTTAGAGGTTAGAACTGAAAGGTAAAGAAATGAAAGAAACACGAAATCCAAGAGACAGTTTGCCAATTAGTCACTAAAATGGGTTTCTAATTACACCGTAAAGCAGGACCTTGGGAGAATAGCAAAGAGTTTTTTGTTATTTCCAAAATTTATAGGTGGATGATTGCATCAGCAGCGGAGCAGTCGAGGTGGGGCCCTGTCCAGGCATACGAATTGAATGAAGGGATGTTCCGCGGCCTGATCTCTCGGAGCAACCGAGTAGAAGCCTCGCGATATTTCATTCCCTCCTCGCTCGCAACTAAGCCCATTTTTTTGGTAGTCCAAAGCCCTACGCGCTGACAGAAATAACCTCCTTAGTAGAAATGCACTGGAAGTCTCATTCCCTGCAGGGCACCGGAGCCCAGAGGGTGAGTGATCCAGACAGGCTGCCCTAGGCTCCTTTCCCGCATCCCAAACAGCATCCCCTGCCTCGCCACGGCCCCAAACGGCCTCCCTTCCACACACACCCTCCCTGGGTCCCGCTCCGGGGTGTGGAGAGCACTGCCGCCTCCTTATTACCGACCTCAGAGCTAAACTCATTATCTCTTCGGACAGAGTCGTTCCTCTCAAGAAACGATTTTAACCCCCTACCCAAAGCAGCAAGACTCCCACAACCGTTCAACAGACACGAACGACCTCAGCGGCCTCAGGGACCTCCCACAACATAGACACTTTTGAGCTGGATTGGTTGAAATGTCGCTATGGTTCTGCCCATTATGGCGGAAGCTTTACCAATTTTATTATTTCATTGGGTACGCTTTACGTCAATCAAGGAAAAAAAAAAAACCTCTTCTTCCCGCCCCGCCCCCCACCCCCGCACCTCCATTCCTAGGGCCCGCTCTCGCCCTTCGAATTGGCCCTGAGCCTTTTCCCCCGAATCCTTTGCGGTCCGCCTCTGATCCACTGTGTGGTGGTTTGCGTAGTGGGAGCTCCTCGTCTCTCGCGTATTGTCCTGCGGTCTGTGGGCCGACATTCGAAAACTGGATAGATAACTTGGACGGTGGGAAGGGAAGGGACACGCTGCAGGCCACCCCCCGGCTAGAAGGAGGCAGTAGTTGAGGAACAAGGTCTGCCAAGCGTGGCTCTGCTCTGTTCTAAAACTTTGGATGGCCTCAGTACCTGGGGAATGTGTTTAAAATGCAGACTTAAATGCCCCTTTCTCCATTCTAATTTCAGTAGGTATGAATCTGCGTTTGTATTCCTCACAAGCCTTCCAAGTGATTCTAAGGCAGGTGCTGTGACTATACTTGGATTATCTCAGGGTTAGATTATCAGGCTATTTATGGTGAAGCTGTATCTAAACCGCCCTTCCCTCTCCTTTTCCTCCTTTGAACTGTTTGAAACGGATTTGTTGGCTTCTGTCTCTTATTTTACGGTGCTGTAAATTGTTAATACACGTGAGACTGTATTCACTACCAAACCAAGTCTCCTAAAGCTCACTTGGATGTCTACTTATTCGTCTCCCTTACCAGGTTCAGTTTCTTGAAGGCCATGATTATATCTATTTAACGCTTTTCCTTGTACCTAATAAAATGTCTGGTGCATAGGTGCTCGGTAAATTGAGTGGAATCTTTTGAAAACCCACAAAATACTGAGCTAAACAGCAAATCTCATAAACGGGAATAAAATAGCCTGAGAATGGGAGTTGAAGGCGGAGACTATGTAAACATATGTTTAAGGGATGTATATAAAATTTTAGAGAAGGGAGAGAGCACAAGATAGGCTTCCTAAAGAGGTGGCATAAACGTTAGACCTACAAGGATGGGCTAAATTTGCACAAGTAAAGATAGTATGATAGAACAAGCTAAAAATTAGCTAAGGGATAGCACCCCTAAAAAACAAAAGCGGAACTTTTATTTTGTTCGTATTTTAAATTTTAAAGTACCTTTATAAATCACCTTTGAGTCTAAAAGGAAAGAGAAATTGTAATTACTAGAACATAGTGATGTTGAAAAAAACTATATGTTAACATTTTAAGACACAGACCAAACTATAGGAGAACATTATTTTAAATAAGAAAGAATAAAAATAGACCAGGCATTTATTTGAAGATGTTAGAAATGAAGAACAAAATTGTATAATTGAAATTAGGAAGAGGAAATTAGTAAAGTTTGAGAACAACGTTTTAAAAGGAACCTGGTCAAATTGATAAAGTGCTTATAGTCTGGTATAAAGCTGCGTTTTGGCAATACCAGTGAAATTCAAAGACAGGAAATGTAACAAGAAAAGGAATAGTGCCACTAGTAAGATTAGTAATTTAACAAAAGGGAGGTTTAAAAATTATTAAAATATTTTATACAATTTTATACTGCCAATAAATATTAATAGAAAATGAAATAGTCACTTTTCAAGGAAAACATAACTCAAAAAAGATGGAAAACTGAATTAAGTCAATAACTACAGACAGGACTGAAAAAAAGATGCCAAATTTCTGTACCCTCAAATAAAAAGCCTCCAGCCCACTCAGATTTATGGGTAAAAATCATAAGAGCTAAATCTTGTGCTTTAAACTCAAGTAATAGAAGATGATGGAGAGCTTCTTAGCTTAATTTTTGAAGCTGCCATAATCTTTAACATCCTAAAAGAACATTTAAAGTCACTCAGTGTAAGCTTAGTGATGATGAAGGCTATACATGTTGCTCACCATTGTATCCCCAGTGCCTGACTCATATTTGATGTTCATTTGTGAACTTAAGTGCAAAATTCCTAGATGTTAGCAAAATCAGTTTGATACTGTCTTAAAGGAGCATTTCTCTATAATCAAATTGAGTTTTTTGTTGTTTTTGTTAAGTGCAAAGATAATTCAAAATATAAATCTGTGTTAAATATAGTGTTAAGGAAATCATCTCAGTGTCAAAAGGGCACTGAATAATAGGCAACACTTTTTCTACTAGGATATAAAGTGGGTTTAGAAAATACTTTTTAAAATATGATCGGCAAAATACTTAAACACCAGTGTTTCTCAAACCTCATTCCTGAAACACTAGAATTTTGTGAGATGCTTTTGGTCTCAGAGTGAGTTTTACAAGCAAATAATTTGGGCAAACAGATTTTAACATGTTTTCAATAGGGTATCCTTTGAAGAGTGACAGGGAATTTACACGGATCACTTTTATTATATTTAGTGAGAACTAGTGACAACCACTTCTTGCTTCGCAGGAGTCAGACAAATCTCTAGATGGAAAACTGCTCTGCTGAAATTTGGGGTCGGATCATCTATTTCTTAAGATAAGACAGGTGATTACACGCATTTAAATCTAAATTTGATGCAATCAAAATTCTCATTTTTCTTGAACAAAATTATTCCAAAGATCCAACAACAGTTGCATAAAAATAGCTTACTAAACTGTGAAAAAGAATAATAATACAAAAATTCCTCTATGGGACAGTAAAATGTATTTGGTACAATGGTAATCAGACCAGAAATTCCAGAGACAGCAAATGTAAATAAAAATTTCTGCTTTGAGAAGGTAGTGACATGAGTGTTTAGTCTGCCTCCTAAAACCGTAATAAAGCAAGAGTTCCTCTATCACCCACGCTGGTGTACAGTGGCATAGCTCACTGTAACCTCGAGCTGGACTTAAAGGATCCTCCTGCCTCAGCCTCCTGAAAAGTTAGGACTACAGAAGCATGCCATCATGCTCAGCTAATTTTTTTTTAATTTTACACTATGTTGCTATGTTGCCCAGGTTGGTCCAGAACTCCTGGTCTCAAGTGATCCTCCAGCCTCAGGCTCCCAGAGTGTTGAGATTACAGGAATTAGTTCCCATGCCTAGCCAATAAATTTGTTAAGCTGAAGTGACCTGGAGAGGGGCCATCAGCAGACTAGGTATTTCAAAAATTATTGGAAAGATCAAAAGAAATGTGGAAACTTGTTGACAAATGAAACAGATCACAGAAGTGGCATCCCATAATTTTTCCGGAGGTGACTGATGTTTCACAGAGAGTTGATCTGCCTGGCAAAGTCCCAGAGAGACTCCAGGAATGGAGTTCTTTTGTACAGTAGAAGGTGAAATGAGAAGGGGGCTAAATACAAAATGTCAATTTAAAACCTCTTTAGGAAACCACTGTACTTCCATTCCTCCAGATTCCTCTCCCCAGTATTTTGTCTCTACCTCTATCTAGAACTCCACTCTTTTTTTTTTTTCCTTTTTTAGAGACAGGTGTTCTCTCTGTTGCCCAGGCTGTAGTGCAGTGACATGGGCATAGATCATAGCTTACTGCAACTTCACTCAACCTCCTGGGCTCAAGCAGCCTCCCACCTTGCGTCTTGGCCTCCTGAAGTGCTGGGATTACAAGTGTGAGCCACTGCACCTGGCCCAAGTCTTTAAAATGAATGAAGAATGAAAAACCATCAGAGATGTGAAAATCAACAACATGAAAGATGAAACTGAAAACTATTTCAGGAAGACTCTGAGTCAGCTAAGGAACCAAAATAAAATAATAAGAAATTAATAATAATAAGCTTCCTAAGAAGTACTCAAGAAAATATTAGAGAACAAAATACTCTGAAAAAGGAACATCAGATAATAAGAAAAGTCTGTTGAAAATAAACATATGAATGTAAAAATTAAAATGGCAAGATGATTTAATTGAAAAAATATCACAGAACCTGCAGTATTCAAACAAAAACATGGAGAACTTTGGAAAAAAATATGGAAGACTAATTCATTATTTGACTAATAATTTCTGAAAGAGAACAACAAGAGGAGGAGGAGAAAAATATCAGACATTGAAAAGATATTTCAAGGAACTGAAATACAGGTCTCTAAATTGATAGAACACATTTAATACTGAGCAAAATAATAGTAAAAGAACACACCTAGACACATAAAGAAGACATTTCAGAGCATCAAAAATAAAAAGGCCTAAAAACTTCCAGACACAAGAATCTGACCTTTTATAAAAGAATAAGAACTGAGCTAGTATCAGATTTCTTATCAGAAACTTTAGATACCAAAAGATAATACCTTTAAAATTGTAACTGAAAATTATTTTGAACTTAGAACTCTATTTCCTGTCAGAACAAAAAATAAAGTGTGAGTACATAATAAAGAGTTCAGAAAGTTCAATTATCATATACTCTTTCTGAAATATGTACTTCAGAAAAGTAAGAATGAAATCCAAAAATAATGTAGATGTAAAATACAAGAGTGTGGCATAGAATGACTGACTCATCAAAAATGTCCATGTCCTAATCCTTGAAATTTGTTAATGTTACTTTGCATGGAAAAACGAACTTTGTAGGTGTAATTAAGGTTATTGAATGGTTTTACTAGGCTTTGGGCTTTTAGGTCCTTAACAATCTTTTGGAGTCCTTGTTGGGCCTCAGGTCTAAGCAGGTACTGGCTTTGGTAGGGAAAGGAGGCGGAATCCTTTAGTTTAACTTGAATGGGACAGGATTCTTTGCTCGTCCATATTGTCCTTCTGTTGCCCAGCTTCCGGATTAATTCCTTCCTCACGTAGGGGACAACCAACTGTGTTGCTTCTCTTATGTTTAGGTGTATAATGGCCCCTGCTTTTGCTAGGATGTCTTTCCCTAACAAAGGAGTGGGCTTTCAGGCATAATTAGAAAGGCATGTGAAAAGAGTAAAGTTCCCCAGTCACAACTTAGTGGCTGGGAGAAGTATCTAGTGACTGCCTGTCCCAGGACCCCTTGGATAGTG